ACTTGGCTTCTATTATTTGTAATCCTATCACCCCCACTGTTATCAGGAAGCCCAGACTTAGAGGAGCATGTCCTACCAGGACCCCTGGCCTACAGAGGACAGCCGCCTCTGAGCTTCTCCGCCATGTTGGCATGTTGCTCGCCAGCCATTGCTTTGGTAAAAGAAGTGACCTCCAGGTCCTCCCACGGCACCAAGTCAGCTAGTGGGTTTGCTGGCCTTACTTCTCTGAGCCTTTGATCTTTTTCTGCACGGCAGGGCTGGCGGTTTTCCTTCACTTAGTGAAAGCCACAGCTTTTTGCAGGATTCCAAGAGCCATTCTAACCGAGTACTAGTCCTGTCTTCCTGGGTCCTTGCCAGGGTCATACACCCTATACTGCTGAAAACCGTCCTCTCAATTTGATCATCTCTCCTTTACCCGACTTTGTGTCCTAGCCCCTGCTGGCTCTGGCTCCTGAATGCCCTCCTCTGTGCCTTCCTGTCCCCTCTATGCCCTCCTGGCTCCTGCTGGTCTGTGCTGGCTAGTCCCCGCAGCTCCTGGCAAGGTTATGTTGTGACTTGCCCCCAGGGACTGGTCTGGGGCCAGGAGGGACATTTTGGAGAGATCCCGAGAGGGGCATGTGTCATCTTGCATGATAATGACCTCTGTATTGTCTTCAAGAAGAGGGGGACTGCTGAACCTTAGCAGGCGGTTCAGGAGAATCTGCAGATTCCAGATTCCTGAGTATATCAGTTCAAGTGTCCCCCCGGCCCCCAAGTCTCCCAGTCCCAGTCCTTGTCAATCGGGAGTGTGACCTCAGCACAGCACACTTCCCAGGGCTGAGAATTTTAGCTTTGCAGGAGCCTCACTGTCCTTATAGTTTTGGGCCTGGCTCTCGCCATTTCTCATCAGCTATAAGGGACAGGAGGTTCTTTACGAGCTGCCAAGGGCCCACCGGCGTTCACACTCCATCTTCACCGCCTTTATCCGCTGCCCAGCACCTCACAGCAGCCATCTGGTCCCATGACCCTTCCAAATGCCTGAGGTAGCGCCCCCTGCTGGTCTCTCATCCCACTTCCCTGCAGGGGAAGCTTTTACAGGTGTGGTTTTTACACAGTCTGCTTTCAGTCTCACACAGTCACGCGGACTTCAGCCCAGCTGGCTAGTGTGGTGACTCATCTCCAGAATTTCGGGTTAGGGGATGCTTCATCAGTGTGGAGAAAATGAAAGTTCCCATGCCCAGGATTCTCACCTGGCCCTGGTCGGCTTGCTCACTACACACATGTGGGTAACATGTTGTTACTGACTCTACATAAAGAGCTCTTCCAGTGCTCTGGGCTGCAGGGCTGCAGGAGAGCAGAGGCTGGAGGGGCGGCAGCGCCTAGGACAGAGGCTGAGACGGCTGCAGGGCAGAGGGGCCCAGGGGCAGAGACCGGCCTGCTGCCTGCAGACTTGCTCCAAGTGGATGGGATTCTAGTGATTGACCTGCCACCGTGGGCACAAAGTTGCATATAAACCCTTTCACCCAAGAATGTTCCACTGTCATTATTCAGTCTCACCGAATCAAAAGTGAACTTGCTCAGGGCTGAAACCCTCAGGCAAGACACTCAGGCTACTCCTGCGAGCACCTATCTTAGTGGCAGGTCCCTGGGAAGGTGTGTTTGCCCCTCCATCACAGCTAGTCCTCCAGTGTGGGCTGCTTCTGGGGAGAAGGTGGCAGGGCAGGCCCCTTTGGTTAAGTCTCCCCAGAGAGAACATCAGCCGTGAGTTGACAAGGGCCAGTCCTTCTGGTGGAGGGGCCTTGTTCCCTGGAGGGTGTCCAGGCGGCTGCCCACAGCACCCACTACAGTGGTGCAAGACGTCCTTCTTTGGGTTCATTCAGCCAACGTTTGTCCTGAGCCCTGGGGAGGTGGTGGAGTTGGGTCCTGCCTTCCTGGAGCTCACATTCTAGTTGGGAGGATGTAGAGAAAATGAAGGTTCCTATGGCCCAGATTCTCATCTGATCCTGGTCGGCTTACCCCCTGCACACATGCAGGCAGTAGGTTACTACTGACTCTCTATATAAAGAATTCTGCAGAGTCAGAAATGGAGGTGAATTACTGGCCTGCAGGCTGCTGGATGCAGACGTGATTCTAGGGCTCGACCTACTGTCGTGAGAATAAAGCTCAGTGTAAACACTTTTGCCCCAAGAATGTTCAGTTGTCATTTCTCAGTCTCACCAAATCCATGCTGAACTTGCCTGGGGCTGAAATACTCAGGTGAGACATAACCGAGGATTGGAAAGGCCAGAATTGACCAGAGTCACATAGCTCATCACAGGTAAAGGCTGCACGAGATGTGGTGTGGGGACAGCTACCTTTGCTGCTAATGTGGGGAGCCAGCCACATGACCAGATAAAGTTCAGCCTCATAAGTGATCCTGCAGGAGGCATTTACATATAAAGGGGTAACAGGACACGGCTTACCAACAAGGCATCAATACTGGGGTTTTCCCTGCATGGGGAACTTTTTTTTCTGATGACTTAAAAACATTTTTGATCTGAAAGTTATTATTGAGAAATCCATCTAAATTACAATAAGGTATAAAGAAGCAGAAGAAATATCTCATTATTCCAAGTCCTAGTGATCTCTGAAACCTTGAAACTCCTGGACTTATTCACACATACACACATGGACATGTAGACATTTAACATTACTGAGATCATATTGTCTACACAATATTACAGTCTTATTTTTTCATTTAAAGTTGTAGTGTAAGCAAATCATATTATTAGGAGCCTTTCGGAAAGAGCAATTTTAATAACGGCATAATCTATTCAACATTCAGCAATAGTTGTTGAAGGCCCATAAGTGTCTGACAATGTTGAAGGTATAGCAGGTCAGGGGTAGCAAATGAACCAGTCCCTGCGCTAGTGGAGCACACTTTCTAGGGGTGACTGGGGTGGGGGAGGAGACAGAAAACAAAAAGGCAGATGTGAATTTAAAAATTGCTTTCTAATAGTGCTAAGTACTTTGAAGAAAATAAAGTAAGATACCAGGTTGGAGTTCAGCTGTGGTCTACTTTTGATATCTGGGGATGTCACATGTAAGCTGAGACCCAAATAAGAGCAAGGATCTAGCTGTTTGAAGATAGGGGGAAGTGTTAGGCTTATTCAGCTAAAGGGACCAGCAAGTGCAAAGGTCCTGAGGCAGAAATAATCTTGGCAAGTTTCGGAACAGATAGAAAGCTTTGCCTTCTTTTTCTTCAGGCTCACTTGGAGAGAAGGCAGCAAGGCTCTCCATGTGTGCACTTCAGGTTTCACAAAACAGTGTCATCACCTCCCAGCTTGGATGATGGAGTGAGCATATAGCAAGGCACTTGGTTGGCCACACAGACTGATGTCTGCCATTCTGAGCCTTTTGGGGCTCCCAGTCTTGGATCCAGGGCTGGTGAGGCATCTTCCCCTGCCTCGGCAGCATTTCCCAAGTTGACCCACATCCTGAGCTCTGCAGATCTAGAGCTTAGGTGTGGGCCAAGCTAGCCTCCCCAGGCCTTTGTCTCTGGGAATATTTGCCTCTCAGGCGAGGGGAGGCAGGGCCTGTAAATCACCTCTCTTTGTGGAGTGCTCTCTCCCGGCATGAGTCATGGCCATGGTTATCTCATTCATTCTTTCAGTAACAGCTTATTTTAAAAGCATCTTCTGCCAGCCTTTTATGTTTCAAACACTTTCTTTGCTGTGACTTTCTACAGTTATTTAATCCAATTATTATTTTTAAATGAATGATGCTTTTTTCCACCTTTTCCTCTAATCCTTTTATGACTCTGAGGTGCTTAGGGATAATTTAGGCTACAGGGCCCTGCATCCACCCAACCCTCAGAACCAAAGACTCCAGGCTGGCCCCTGGGCAGACCTCGCACCACGGAATGGTTCTCTCTCTCTTTCTTAGAGTCAGGAATCCTTAGCCACATCTCCACCCTGCTTTCCCAAGGCCCGGAACACCTGCTTGCTCTCTGTGTGGAGGGTGGACTTGCCTAGGGGCCGTGTTGAGGCTGCAACCTCCAAAGATGTGGTCCTGCTCCCTTGTCCAGGACCCTCTCAGAGCTGGTGTCTCACGGCCCTGTGGTCCTGAAGAGGGAAGACCTGTGCCCTCAGGCCTGCACAGGCCCCCTCAGCCTAGATGGCCCTTCACTCTACACAGGCTGTAGCAGAAACCAGAATCAGCCTTCCGCCTCGCCTGGTGTGGCACTGGCCGGCGGTCAGTGGAGCCAGAGGGCTCTCCGGGCCCCATGCCCCCTCCCCACGGCTCTGGCCGGCTGTCTCATACAAGCTGGCTGCTGCCCACGGGAGGATGCTGCTACGCAGGAACCTTCCAGGGAGGAGCCTGGGAGCTGAGAAGGCACGGCACTTGGGGTCAGAGGCCAGGGTCAGCGGCCTCCCTGGGTTCCCTGTGCACCCTGTTCGGGCGCCCGGGCCAGGGGTCAGGTTCAGCGGTGGGTGCTCGCGCAGGAGCCTCTGGGCCCCAGCAAGCGGATGGGGGAAGACGCGTGCGCAGGGACGCTCCAGCGCTTGGTCCCCACACCATCCTTCACACGTGGTGCGGCCCCGGGCTCACGGAGAAAAGGAGTCCCGCGCCCAGAAGCCACGTTAAGCACAGGAGAGGGCATTCTCCGTGCGGCGCCCGGTCCCCGCAGAGCCTGGGAACAGCAGGACAGTGCCTGGGAGCCGCGTGCGGCTCAGCCAGTCTTCAGGCGGCCCTCGGGCGCGGGCCGAGCCCCAGCCCGCCGCAGCCACCGAGGGCCCAGAGGCGGGCGCCGTCCCTCCCCGGAGGCCCAGGCCCGCGGCGCCGGCCGGCCGCGCAGACCCCGCTCCCTCGAGAGCTGCGGCGCAGAGGCGGGGCGCCGGCGCGTCCGTTGCTAAGGCCGCCGTCCCGGCGACGAGCGCTCGCGGCCCGCGCACGCGCCGTGGCGCACTCCGGTGCACTGTGGGATGGGAGCCCGGGCGGCTCGGCGCGGCCGGAGGCAGCGGAGCTCGGCGGCGGGGCAGGCGGCGGCCGGGAGCGCAGCGGAGCTCGGCGGCGGGGCAGGCGGCGGCCGGGAGCGCAGCGGAGCTCGGCGGGCCGCGGGGGGCGCCGCCATGAACGCGGCGGTGGTGAAGCGGACGCAGGAGGCCCTCGGGAAGGTGATCCGAAGGCCTCCGCTTACGGAGAAGCTGCTGAGCAAGCCCCCGTTCCGCTACCTGCACGACGTCATCACGGAGGTGGGCGCCGGGCCGGGGGCCGGGGTCGGGGCCCAGGTTTGGGTCGCGGTCAGAGCTGGGGTTCCAGATGCAGGTCTGGGGTCATAGCCTGGTCGGGGATCGAGGCCCAGGTGCGCGTTCGGGGCCCAGATGCCGGCGCGGTCGGGTGCGAGAGGGGCTGGGGTGCGGGCGTCGTTTCGGTTGGGGCCCAGGTGCAGGAAGCGTCGGGTACGGTCCGCGGCAGAACCGGGCGGTGTCAGGGTCGGGCCTCCCGTGGCTGTGCGCGGCCCCTGCCCCGGAGCCGGCGTCGGCGGACGGGCTCTGCTGGGCCGAATTTCTCGGGTCTCTGCACCCACCCTCGCAGTGCTCTTGCCTTTTCACGCATCCGCCTTGGGCCGGCCCCTTCCGGAGCATCCTTCTTCCCTGCCCACCCCTGTGTCTGTTAGAGCTCATCTTCCATTCTGCCCCAGAACGGTTCAGTGATTCCTTCCGTGCCTAGCAGGGGCAGGGTGCTCAGAAGCCCTGGAGAACGAAGTTATTTATTATCTCCCCGTCCCAGGTTTCCCTCCACATTGCCCCGCACAGTGGTCACCGCGTATTGGATGCTAAATAAATATCTGTGGGTGATTTATGGAAGGTGGCTGTAGGGGGACCTGAATCCTACAACTGAGATTGGTTGTAACTTTTCCCCAGTGGACGGTGAATCCGGAATGATGTAGATGGTAAAACCTGCTGTTGCCATGTCCCGGGCACGCTGCCCTGGGTAGGTTCGCAGAAGGCACACAACAAACCGTCGTTGTTGTGGAGTCTGGGAGTCTGTCAAGGCTCCTGGTAACGGGCACAGCCCCTCCCGATGGTGCACCTGAGGAGGGCGTGGACTCATGCCCTCCAGGGTTCTTTGGGAGTTAGGAATCAGGGGTAACCTGCAGACTGCTGGGGGCCCCTAATTTCATCCCAGGTTGGTCCTTTAACTTTATTTCTCACTCTTTCCAGCAGATTGGGCTCCATACCCTTCCACAGGCTTTGCTCTACCTATTTCTGTGATCCTACCTTAGTTTCTAAGGTGTGCCTCTGTGTTAGTCACCCTAACTGTGCTTAAAACTCTTTGGAATCCCACCCACATGCCCAGGGCTGTTTTGCTGGCTTCACCTCCTCCAGCCAGAGCAGCACTTAACCTGTCCTGGGTAGGGTTTGGGGAAGGGGCAGGGCTGTGGAGGGCCCATGTGAGCTGGGCGGGCAACACCGCCTCCACCTGGTGAAGCAGGCGGGTAGTGTCCTCTTGGTCAGTGGGGAAGAAGTCAGCCAGCCAGGTGAGCTAATTCTGACGTGCCTGTGGGCCTCGGTGTGGTGCTGGCCCACAGGCGCTGCTGTCTCCACGTCCTGAAAGGTTGGAGGGTGTCATGATGAGGAAGCAGAAGGAGAAGGAACAGTCCAGCAGGAATTGAGCTGGTCCCCCAGGCAGCCAGCCTGTGTGGAAGGGAGTCACAGGGTCCCAATCGGAAACCACCGGTCTGCTTTTCTTTCACAGGGTTTTCCTAATTTAATGCCAAAATTAATTTTTATATCTGTAGAAAAGAATGTTGTCACCCACTTGACAAAGATATTAGAGCGCTTGACATATTGGAAAGCATTTTCAGATACTAGGTGAAGAGCCTCCTATGAAAATTCTTTACTGCCCCCTGAGTGTTGTGTTCAAATCAGCGTTTTAGTATCTTGGCTACAGCTAATCTAACTCTTCTGCCTATTTCAGAAATCAGAGCATTAATTCATCTGCTGATGTTAAACTCTTGTAGCTTAAAACTGTTGTTTGTACTTTTAACTGCCAGCAAACTGGGAAAACCTCGAAAGAGACTAAATGAAAAGGTTCTAGCAACATTAAGTGTAGGATGCCCCTGCTGTCCCTCTTGTCTTCTCAGGAAAATAGAAGCACAGCCCTTAAGCAGTTTGAGAAGGAATGAAAGCTGGCTTCAGTGATACTGGAGGTTGGTCTCAGAGAAGGAGCCATGTTAGTGTGGGCCTTTTTTTCCCAAACATGTCTTGCAGTAAAAACACACTTGTATCCACCCAGAACACACGCATAAAGGTGTATTCGTCCTTACTGCATACATTGCAGTCTGATAATGTCTTTTCTGTTTCATTTTTTAAAAACTCCTCTTGCTACCCATTAGGTTGATTTTACAGTGGGGGACCGTATTTTGAAAACTCTGGTCTGAGGAACCTAGGGCGCTGGCTGTGTATAGAGGTAGGGAGGAACAGAGAACATCACCACCCCAAAACTACTGTTAGGGGTACTTGGAGGTACGGGTTGACTGAGGGGAGGGTCAGGCGGGGAGACCGAGCACCACGTGGAACAGAGCGCCCCTCTGTCCTAGGGAGTGAGTGACATGGTGGTGGGAGGAGGCCTTTCATCTGGTCTGAGAAACCCAGCCTGGGAAGTGCCCTTTCTTTCTGGAATCCATTCTCTCCATTGGGCCTTGTGGCTCTTGCTTTTGAGCCTTTTGGGGTCTCCTCATGGTCCTTAGGCTAAGTCCCTATTCCTGAATAGCTTTGAAAGCCATCTGGGGCAGGCCCCTGCGGACTCTGGCCTCAGGCTTCTCCTGTCCTGAGCTTCTTTCCATCCTAGTCCGATGAACAGGAGCTCCGGGTTTTGGGTGCTAATCCTGAGCCCCTTAGCACCCCACCAGTCTTTGTGATGTTCTCCTGGCCCCATAGCCAGGCGGGGTCTGCCTGCTACAAAGCCTCACATGTAGTAGACACTGATGGTTGTTGAGTGAGTGGATAAATTCGATCCTGGGCTCAGGCAGATTTTGATGGATGCAGAGTGGGGTTCAGGGCATGAGGCTGAGGGGGGGCTGGCCCATGGGCTGCTGACCATGGTTGTACTTGATTTTTTCAAGGTGATTAGGATGACCGGTTTCATGAAGGGCCTCTACACTGACGCTGAGATGAAGTCTGATAATGTTAAGGTAGGTTTGAGTGGGGGCCCACCTGCTCGCCTTAATGAGTGGGGTTTTTTTATAAGCTGTGTACAATCTGATATGTGGTTGGAATACAAGGTTGATTAATTCATGAATTGACGTATACCCTTCTCATTTCATTTTCTCATTTTTAGTAATTACATGTCATGTTAATTTTATCCATTGAGAAATGGAATTAGTGTTTCAAAGGTTAATGCCACCCCATCAACTAAAATTAACAGCTTTATTTCTACATTTGACATATATCTAAAAATTACATTAAAAATCTCATTTAAATAGGAACTGTGTCTATGAGATATATTTAAGATAATGCAAACTCTATCGAAGTTTTGTAATACTTGTGTTTTAAATGGAAATCTTTCAGGATAAAGAGGCAAAAATTAGCTTCCTTCAGAAGGCCATTGACGTGGTGGTAATGGTTTCTGGAGAGCCGTTGTCAGCGAAACCAGCCCGGATCGTGGCTGGGCACGAGCCAGAAAGAACAAATGAGCTGCTGCAGAGAATTGGAAAATGCTGTCTCAGCAAGGTAACGCTGTGGCCTTGGCACTATACGCTTTCAGAAACACACCACGTGGCGGGTAAGCGGCTTGGGCACAGTGGCAGGTGTTCTAGGAAGGAGGGTTTGGGGACGTCTGCTGAACCCCGAGCTTTGAAATTGATCCCACTAGTCTGGAGTCTTGGAGTTACGGGAGACGTCACTTAAAACTGTGTGTGAAGCACAGACGTGCCATGCACAAGCTGCACAGGCTCTGAGTGTGAGACGGGGCTGCACAGCCGCCTTGCCCCCGGCAGGAGGCTGGAGGCGGTGTGCCCGGCGCCCAGGCCCTGCATCCTCCCCCGTCAGGCCTCCTTTGGGTGCTGGTGGCTGGAGGGGCTACTTTTCTTCTGTTCTGGGGCTTGTGGGACACCCGTTCTCCCCCTGCCTTCCCGACCCCCCGGTGTCTGCTGCTCTCTCGCCATACCTCCTGCTTCCTCCCTCGTTCCCTCCCTCCTTCCCCTCTTCTCCCCGCCATTCCTCCCACTTTTCTGGCTGTTGATAGCGGAGCTGTCCTGCCCTCAAAGAAATCCTGTTTCACTCGTACAGGGACTGGATTCGTCACTTCCTGAGACCCTCACGGCAGGCTGGAGACCTGGCCCCTCTGCTTAGATCTACCCCCGGCTGTTTTTGCAGAGACACTGGGGGAGGTCTCAGCCTGGTGATGGGAGCCTTTCAGGGGGCTGTCTTCTTTGTGGGAGCTGAGGTGGACCCTCACCAGGGGCATAGTTGATACAACCCTTTGTGAACCTGATGGCTTGTGGGCTGGGGACTATTGTTTGATGTTACCGAAATGGGCAAAGGTGGGCTTCAGCCCCGAGAGCAGCAGTGCAGGTGCGGCTGGGGGTGGGGGGTGGCCCCTGGGAGGCCTCAAGCAAGCCTCGCCCTGGTCTTCTTCCAGCTCTCAGGCCTGGAGATGCAGGAGCTCATTCTGCTGGTGACCTGGCCTCTGTCCAGTCCCCACCCTGCACCTGTCATGTCGCTCATCTTTCTAAAGTGCAGTATGACTCCTGTCTTTGCTGAATCCTTTGCAGCTTCCTGTTGCGCAGGGCGCAGCCCCTCAGACCTGCCTCTTGCCTCACTGTCTCCCACACCTGTGGCCGCGCCCCCAGGTCTACTATGCTGGCCACACCCCCAGCTTCATCGGGCAGCAGCGCCGAGTCAGCTGCTCTTCCTGCAGCCCTGGCCCCCTCCTCCCTCCTGGGCTGATGTCGGTGCCCTGCCGTGTCTCGTAGCACACGGACGTGTGTGGTCGTTCCCGCAGCCTGTGGCGTGTCTGTGGCCGGCGTCTAGTGCCTGGCTATGACACCCAGTGTGCTCTGTGGAAGGAGAGCACGAGCAAGTGGGGTCCGGACTGGAGGGGGTTGGGAGGCCCTGGATGGGGGCGGGGATGCTGTGGAAGGGATTTTTGCATTTGTTGCGGTTTGGGTTGGGTCATTCCTTAACGCCCTCCCACATGGCCGCTGATCCTGTGAGGAGTGGAGGGCATGTGGAGGGCTGTGTGGGTCACCTTTGGTGTCTGTGAACAGCATGTGTGCCCACACTTACAGCTTGGATGCAATGGCCCCGGGGCTCGTTCAGCCTGGGGGTTCGCCGTGAGGGACCAGAGGCGGCAGCCCCTGGAGTAGACGCCCTGCTTTCTGGGGACAGCCTTTTCCTTCACACGCTATCCTTTGAATTTCACTGGAAGGCAGAGAATCTGTTTAATCTGAGTGCCGGCGTTCACATGGGTTGCTGTGCTGACCTTATTTTCACCTTGCATTTTGTGCACACCTGTTCGGACCACCAGCTGCCCAGTGATGAAGCCGTGAAGAGGGTGTTGGCTGGAGAGAAGGGGCATGAGAAGGGAAGGACCTCGCTGACGTCGAAATCGCAAGCACTGAACAATAGGGATGTGAGAGGAAACGAGCCGGGTCATAAGGATAAGGAGGTGAGTTGCCCGTTGCACATATTTGAAGATAAAATCATGAGTCTTTCTGTAGCACAGCTAAAGACATTTCTAGCTGAGACTTTGCCTTTTTTCAGGAGAGGAGAAACTCTGACATAAAAGAGAGAAGGGCAAGCAGAGACGGAAAACAGAAGGAGGAACCGGGGGAAGAGAGCAGACGGAGAGCGAAGGGACAGGACCGCGAGAGGACCAAGGAGCGCGGCCATGACAGGCGCCAGGATGCGCACAGGGACAGGGCCCGAGCAGGGGAGAGCGAGCGAGCCAGGAACAGGGCCCAGCAGCACGGAGACAGAGACAGAGACAGAGGCAGCCGGGACAGGAGCAGAGACCCGGAGCGCGCCCGCGAGAGGAGGAGCGAGGGCGGCCGGGACAAGGACCGGCCGAGGGTGAGAAACGGGGAGCCCTCCAGGGACCCCGACCGGGAAGGGAGCCGAGAGCAGGATAACCTGGAGAAAAAGGTAAAGTCCTGTTTGAGAACTTCTGTTTATGACTTAGAGTCTGGGGCGGCTCTGAATGACCTTTGCCCCTAGTATTAGTGTGACTGGGACACTGGCTTTATCACCAACTTAACATTGTTGTCTATCTGGATTCAGAAGCCTGAAGAGGTAGCAGTTTTCTCCAGGTTTTGTAAGATCGGCCTCCTTGTGCGTCCTCCCTCTGTGTATCTGGGGTTCGCTGAACACTTCAGGGTGGCCTGGGCCCTCGTGTTGCGAGCCGCGCTTGCGAGCAGCCTAGCTGTGTGTGAGCTCCTGAAGTCTGAGGTGCCTGAGTTTATGAAGGATTAGGCTGCTTCCTAAGTGTTTGACGCGTTGGCATTAGTACAAGAAAGCCTCACTGTACCATAATTCTTGCTTAATTAACTTTTCAGGTAAATTTAGGATTGGCCGGAAGAGTGGTTTGATCTCCAGCAGTGTTTTCTGTGTTGGAGGTCCTGCTGGCCGTGTTCTGGGAGCACATGTCTCCCAGCTGGCTGGTTTCTGTCGCCTGTGCTCATGGGGGCAGCACGTAGGAGGGAGCCCAAGTCTGGAAAGGTCAAGCTCTGCCCAAGTGATGTGGCGGGTGGTGGGTAAGGCCCACATGAGCACCCGCTGCTCTTTCCTCCCGCGATGGCCATCGTGCCGTGTGGCGCTGCGAATCAGGTGGCTGTGGGCAGACGAGCGGGCCCACAGGCTAACCCTGGGGGAGCCCGAAGCCAGGCTTTTCTGTTGAAGTCAGAGTGTACTTGCTTTGGTCAGAAACTGGGTTAGTGGTCTCCTGGAGACCGTGGGGTCCCGTGGACCCCCAGGAGTAATGTACCCAGGTAGGTGTCATGAAAACCAGCATTCCCTCAGGAGTTTTAGAAATAAGAGAGATCCTTTGGCCCTTCTTAGAGACCTAAGAAAAAGTGTTTTTTCACTGATCTGAAGTTGTAAGGTGCCAGCATATTCTGGTGCCTTTTACTGTGCAAGAGGCAGTCCCTGAACGGGGTGACCTTCGCAGCTCTCAAGCTCTTCAGGCCCAGCGTTCCCGTCCATCATGTTAACCAGAATTGCTGATGCCATGACTAGTGTTTCCAGTAGAAGGTGATTCCAACGAGAGAGTTTACAGGCGGGTTTATAGCGCTCACTGGAGCCGCGTGTGGGTGGCGATTATGTTTTTGAAAGTGAGACCCATAGAGGCCTGTGGGGGTCTTGCTCCCCGCAAGCCGGATCCACACACTGCACGGTGGCTGCTTGTGGGTTCTCCCGGCGTACCTCCGGGCTCCGGTGTGACGTGGGCCTGGGAAGTGGCATGCTGTTCTCCTGGAGCGCAGCACTGCGCGGCCGGGCAGCGGTGATGGGTCTCCCAGAGAGCCGAGCGCCCACAGACTGGAGGCAGCTGGAGCCCGCTCTGCCCTCCGCACCCCTCGGTCAGATCCCGGGACCCTCCTCCGTTCGATTTCTGTCTAGAGGAGACGATGATGCGGTGTTCTCAGCCTCCCCAGGGTTTGTGAAGAACAGGTGAACAGGAGGCAAAGTGCCCGTGTCTCAGGTCAGAGGGGCTGGCTGTGGGGACTGCTCTGTCGCCTCCTGGGCGACGGCTGGGTGTGCGAGGGAACCCCGGCCCGCCGGAGGGCATTAGCCTGACGCCTTCGTGATGAAGTGACGAGGGCGTCTTGTGGCTGAAACGCTGAGCAAGCGTCCTTTGCTTTTCAGTCTTCATGGAGGCTGCGACTGCGGTCCTTGCTACTGCCTGTCGCTGTGTGCCTCTTAGAGACCTGAGGTAGGGTTGAGGTGGCGTTCGCAGGGCTCACACTGCTTGTTCTGAGCGTGGGTCCTAATGCCAAGTCGGAGCCTTTGCCTGAGCCGCTGTGTCTGGAAGGTGGGCTGGTGCAGGTGCACGCAGGACTGGTTCTGCCGGGGTCAGAAGTTTCACTGGCCCGTCTCCAGGTGGCCTGGCCTGGGGTCCTGTGTGCCCGGAGACTGTGCCGTGGCTTCCTGAGGTGCTGCCTCGGACGCCCTTGCCCCTCAGACGGCCAAGCGTGGGAAGCGATGTTGGAAGCCCTTTGGGGACCAGGCAGCAGGCCAGTGCAGAGAGCGGGTCCAGAGGGCGGTGCTCGCGGGAGAGGCGTCTTGCTCTTGGTCACCAAGAAACATCTTGCGTCCTGGTGCATTTTTAGATGTAGTGGATTCGAGCGATTCTGGAATTTGAAGGAAAACGTTTTTGTTTTATAGTCACCAAGCCCTGGGGAGGCAGCTGAAAGGTTGGCCGATGGATCTTTTAAAGACTCCAAAGCTGAAACAGAGGTAAACTTTAAAAAATAATCTGAAATAATTTTAAGAGCTGCACACACATAGCTATGTTGAAATGAAATAACACAGTGACTGCTGGGCTGGGGTCCTGTCCTCATACTCTGAGGCTTGCAGGGAGGCATGGTGTAGGCTTACACACAGTGGGTCCATATTTATGTTGTTGTAAAGCAGTGATTTGTGTGTTTACACTCTGGTACAATGACGGGGTGTATTTGTCCTCTGGTTTCCTGTGGTGGACTCTTGGATTTCCTTAAACCTTTATTTGACAAAAGTGGTATGTAGTGTACAAGGGACAGGGTAGTCCTTTGGAGAGGGTGGCGATAGCCCTTTAAATCAGTCTGGGATACCAGGCAGACAGGGAAAGGAAGAGCCCTCTGGCGCTGGCAGGACCCCTCCAAGCTCTGCTGGCCTGTGGGGCCCAGTGCCTGGGCGATAGCTGAGGCTGGGCCGCATCATCTCTGTGTGGCCGCCCTGGAGCTAGAGTCACTGCAACTGTTAATTCAGTTTGCATTTCTGAAAGCGTATCTAGGCAACTGCAGGGAAGAGGCCGTGGAGTGGCAGCTGGGAGGCCAGTTAGGAGCCGTGATGGCAGGTTGGGAGGGGTGGCAAAGCCTGAACTGTGCCCCCGGTGGGAGGGCAGGTGGGCTAATCCCTCCAGTTTGTGCTCTTTCAGCACAGTGTGTGCATTTTCATTCACAGCTATTTACAAATGCATCCAGGCAATTAAGCCCCTAGCAACAGGGCGAGTCCTCTTAAACACACCTGCTAAGATGGTGTTTCTCAAAGTGTGGTTGGCAATTGCTGGCTGCCTTAGGGTCTCAGAAAGAGGGGGTTCTGAGCGGAGCGTAAAGGGGTTTCAGCCTCCTTCTGATTCGCTCGCTCCGGGTTTGAGTGCTGGCTGCACCAAAGCCGCCGACCTTTTCGGACACCTGGATGTGTCTGTTCTGTCCCCTCCTCCCGCCTCCTCCCGCGGAGCTGGAGCGACAGACCTGCTTCTGGTACTGCTGCGTGATGCATCCGCTGTTTTTTCATTCTCTTTTCTTTAAGGCTGAGGTTTCTCCTAGAGCATCCAGGTCAGTGACAACAAAGACATCGACATGGCGATCCAGGAATTCAGTGGAAGGTACTGCATGGTTTATCACAGAAGGAGCTGAAAATAAGGGCATTAGTTTCTTTGCCTTAATCACAGTCTCATAGGAAAAAATTCATGTGGCTGGAAAGCAGATCTGTCATCAGGGCTCTGAACACAGACTGAAAATGAAGCGGACATACATGTACATACATGCACCCACATGCATGCACCGGGGAGGAGTAGCACCTCTCTGCTGGAGATATGTTGCAGTCTGCAAGATGGGAATGAATTTTATTTTTCCAAAAATATTTATCAGTCATCCATGTTTCATTGACGCTTGTCTTTTGAATTGGTAAGCTAAACGTAATCGTGTTGCAAAGTGGACAGGAAGAGCATCCTGCCCTTAGACAAATGGTGTTTATGCATTGAAAAATGGCAGAAATTTTCACTGGGAACCATGCTAAGAGCTAAGAGCCGAAGCAGAAGTGAACAGGCTTGGCCTGGGGCTTGCCCAGGGACAGTCCTTCGTTCTCACAGACCAGTAGGTAGGAAGAGAGGGTCAGTGTGGTGCCCAGCAGAACGGCTGCAGGCCAGAGGTGGTGTACGTCTTGGCTGAAGTGTAAAGTGACTGAATGAGCAGTATCGTTTCTGAATATATCCTTTTCCTAAACTGCAGAAGTTAAGCATGGAAGAAAGTACTGGCTGGGATTTTCATTTAGTGATTAGGTAGCAAGTCCCAGTCGATCACAGTGGGACATAATCCTGAATGAACGTGGTTGTGCCCAAAACTCTTTCTCTTCTGTGAGTTCTCCGCCACAGCTCCCAGAAGTGTGACCACTGGCGCGGAGGGCACGGACGTGTTCAGGTTTTAGCCGCAGTGTCCTCTAACTGTACCCCACATCCTCTCCAGTGTCTTCAGGGTCTGCTGATTTTGATAGATGACAAATGAGCTGCTGTCCCTCTTTGTGACTAGGGAAATTGTGCATTTTTAATGTGTGTCGGTGAATTTTATTGGCTTTCCTGACTCGACTGTTTTTTCTTTGCCTGATGCCTTACTGCTCTGCTGGGAGCCTTTGTTATTAATTTGTACCAGCCGCCAGGGCATCAAGATGTCAGGACACCTGCGAATTTTAATGCTTGCTTAGTATTTGTTTCTTATATTTTTTTCAGTTTATTTCTACTAAGTATGTTTAGCTTCTGAATTGCCTGAGTGTCTAATTTTCATGGACTGCAATCTTCCAGTCTTGTATTTTTGTAGCTTGTGCAGAGATTAGAGAGATGTTTTGTGTTTTGTCAAACAATTTATTTAATCTTTTTAATCATCTCCTACTTTAGTCCATGGTGTAAGGTAAGGCTCTGAATTTATTTGCTTTCTCAGAATAAGTCAACAGGGTGTCCAGGGTTCACCCACCGATTGTACCCTTCCCTCACTCTGTGACCCCCGTACCCCTTTTGTGTTTTACTGCTAGTTTTCTGTCATTGTTCTTTTTAAAAAAGCTTTCAGCCACTTGATTGCCTTATTCTTCCAGGTGTATTTTAAAGTAATGTAATGAACCAAATAATCCCACTTCCCACAGACAAAACTAAGGAACTTAGCAGGATTTAGTGGGACTTGTGTTAGACTCATGCTGTCCTCATTTGGGAAGATTAGCACCTCAGTTCCAAGTCAGTACAGGTGTCCCCCCATCACCAAGAAGGCGTGTGGGCACGGGCTCGGGTGTGTCTGTTAGTCAAGGATTACACAATAGTTTTTTGTTCTGTGTTTTGGAAATGGTACCTCCCTTCCCCTCATTATTCAGTGATTCTTGTCAGTATGTAGAAACTTTATTGATTGTTATAATTGTATCTTAAATCTAGCTATGTGTCAAATCTTAACCCCCAGTTCTTCTGTTGAATTTTTGGGTTTCTTAAGCTTACAGTTACCTGCTTTTCTTTTCTGATAACCCAGGATGTCTGCATCAGTTTACTGGTGAATTCATGCTGAGGCTCCCTTTATATGGTTCGAAGGGAGTTGATTATCAGGGATTTGCACATGTTATGACTTTAAGCTCTACTGAGCTGTCAGCAGGGTGGTAGATTCTTTTCTTCCTGCCAGTTAGCCAGGGCACGACCTCCCCACCACCCTTACCCGGCAGAGCCAGCACTCTACCCGAGCATACTGCCCTGCTTCAATAGGTAGCATCCAAGGAACTGGCTAGCACCAAATGTGCATGAGACACAGGACCTCTATTTTCTACTTGAGGGATTAAGCCTCGCATTTACCAGAGTGTGAGGTATCACCTTCGTCAGACACATTTAGAACCTTAAATTTTAAAATCCCTGTGGAATCCAGAAAGCATTCTGCGTAAGAACATGGTAATTTTTGCTTATTCTTAAGAACTGTATTACAGCAGAACTGATCCCGTGGAGTTTGTGAGTGCATTTTGATTTCATTTGTTTGCTGGCAGTGCCGCGCTGCAAATTAAGTTTAACATGAATTTCACTATGCAATTTCACGACAGGAAGAAGGGACTCTCGAACCAGTGAAAATAGCCTTTCCCCTGAGGAAGAACTTAGCTCCTCCTACAGTAAAGCTAAGAAGGAGCAGGCGGCGAGCCTGCGTGCAGGCTGAGCGGCCGTTTGGGCTGAGCCCTGTGGCTGCGCGATCCTTTGCTTGCATTTGGTCCCTGAGCAGGCGGAGCTCTGTGGGTGGTGCAGGGATGTGGCCCTGCTCCCCAGGCCTGGGCTCCGGAGCATTGCCTCTGGCCAGCGGGGCAGGGGCAGAAGGAGCAGTAGGGCTGCTCCCGCCACGCTCGGATTGCAGCCCACCTTTGTTTCGCTGGTATGTGTGGGCGACTGGCCCCTTGGAGGGTGTAATCTAGGGCGAGAGGACAGATAAGACAGAGAACACGGGGTTTACGTTCGTGTTGGTTATGATGCGTCTTTTGAAGGAAAATGAAGCTGAGAGAAGGGGGTATAGTTGGGAGGGTCGTAGGCAGCGCAGGCCTCTGCGGAGGGACATTTGGGCCGAGTTGCCTGGAGTGGAGGAGGACGCAGGGTTCCAGGAAGGGCAGAAGCCCGGAGCTGGGGACTGGCTTGCCTGTTGGAGTGACAGGAAGTCCAGTGGGGAGGCTGGGGCAGAGAGAGGGGATGTGGTAGGAGAGGCTGTGGTGTTGAGCCGGCTGGCCGCGTGTGCCTGGTCAGCGTGAGCAAGAGGCCTTGCGTGCGGTGAGAAGGGAGAGGCATGGTTTGACTTTGGTTTTGGCAGTGCCCCCCTGTGCAGCTGGAGAAGGACCGGTGGGAAGGCTGGAGAGCGGATGCGTGGTTCTCATGGCACCCAGGTGGGAGACAGCGGGGGCTGCACCCTGGGGTCACTGAGGGCCTTGGGCACAGGGCGTATTTGATAGAAGGGAGCAGTGGGTGGATTGGGTAGCACCTGTTAGAAGGGAGAGGAAACGAAGCCAAGGTCAGTTAGAGGAGGAGCCTGGGTTCCCACGTGCTGCCGCTCATTGAAGTGGGCAGGCTGTGGGAGGGGCTGTTTGAGGGAGTGGGTGGCAGGGCTGGGCATTCTGTTTTAGACACACGGTATTCGAGATGCCTGATGAACAGTCAGGTAGGGTCTGCATGTAGGGGCTGGGCCTGCAGGGAGGGAGTTGGAGCCACTCAAGGTGAAAAGGGAAAACCCCGGGCTGGTAGTGTGTCGGCAGCCTTTGCAGCCGGGGACCAGGCTCCGGTGGTGATTGGCCCAGGGAGCGTGGAGGTGAAGGTGTGCTCCGGGGCCGCCCGGGCTCTCGGGTCGGAGAGGAGGAGGCAGCTGGCAAAGGGGCTGGGGGTGCTGGAAGCTTGGAGAGTGGGGGTCCTGCCAGTCTAGGGGGCAGGTCAGGGTGAGGGGGTGTGTCATGTCAGAGGCTCTGAGGGGCGGCCTTTGGGGGCTGAGTGACCACTGAGTGGACAAGACAGTTCGGTGGTGACCTTGGCATAAACCCCTGTCATTCCTAACTAAACCCAATACGAACACCTTTGCAATATTTTAATCTGTTGTCAACTATTTTATGTCAGGAAGAAAGGAGGATAATAATTCAGCTAAAAGTTTAGACCCCGTAGTGTCTGGATTAGCTAATGAACCAGATCAGGAAACTACGACTTCAGGAATAGGTAAGAAAAAGATACTCTTTAGTTTAAATTCCTCACCACTTTGACAGGAAATGTTTGCATCTCAGTGTAATAATATTTTATATTCTAACCACTTTAATGTTCATCAGATTGTTTTCTGATGACTGAAGATCAGAGATGTCTTGACACTGTTTTAGTTTGCTAAGTTATGTGATAGAAGAATATCAACTCAGCTTTAAGTTAACCTTTACATGCCTTTTTATGTAGAACTTATTTTTGCATCTAAAGCAGAATGCTCTTTTTATGTTGCTATTGGAATTTTACAAAATGATGTGCTAGATACATTGTCTTTCAGTTCTCCGTTCTGCTATGCTGTGTTCTATTAAGAAAATGCTGTGCAACAAAGATTCTAAGGTGCTGGCTTATGACACACCGGGGAAGGTGTTGCTGCGGTCGGCCCCTTTGTAGATGCGGCGGGCGGTGTGAAACCGTGTGCACGCATCCTTGCCCTGCTGATGTGCAATTAGATGTATGAATATGGAATTTCAAATGGGATAATCCTGGATTAAATGTAAAGAATTGTAGTTTTCTCTGATGTTAAACTACATTCTTTAGAAACATTAGAATGTTTGCGTGACACTTAAGGTATAAAATAGTATAAATCTTGATTTCAGCGAAAGATAAAATTTTTTCTAGTCTTAACTTGTGTCTGATTTTTTACTTGACTGGATGATTTTTAAAAATTTTGTGTCTGTCACTAGGATAGTGTTAAGCACCTCTTTCTGTCTGTGTTTTCCCTTTGAGAAGGCACACGGCTCATTCAGGAGGCCTGGTGTGGAAGGTGGTGTGAGGGACGTCATGCCGCATGGGTCCATGCATGACGCACCCTTGCCACCCAGGGCGTGGGGTGCTGGGGCCGGAGCCAGATGTGTTCTTGCTGGTGACTCTTCACAGTGTGCAGCGAGCCGCGTTTAGCCACATCTTGTGGCTGTTTCCTCTCTGTGGGAGTTTTTCTCAGCTGCTGGCAGGGTCCTGGGGGAAGCACCCAGGCCGACCCTGGGCTGCAGAGAGGGGAGTGTGTGCGGCCTGTGTAGACTCGCCTGCAGCCCAGACCAGTGGGAAGAGCCCGGTCTCTCCCACTCACCCACCTCCTGGCCATGAGCTGCTGCCTGGGTGTGTTCTCTGAGCCAGTCCCGTCACTGGTGAGCGGGTGTGGAAGTACCTGCCTTGAGAGCAAATGCGCTGATATCTGTAAAGTGGCTGCCTCGTCACAGGCAGGCCATGCACGATCTGCCTTATTCCACACCATTCAGTTACCGAGAGCCCCAGTCGAGGCGAGGCAGGTTGCTGTCTGAGCCGGTACGATGGATGTAAGACACACTGAAGTGGTTATTTAGACACATGTGTAAGCACTGCTCAGGGCGTGAGAGTAACGTGAGCCCAGTGTTTAAGCAGAACCGGCAGGTGCAGCAGGTGATGCTCCAGGGCTTTGCAGATTGGAGTGTCCCCTGGCGCCCTTGGTGGCGAGAGTGAGTCCTGTGTGCCTGCTGTCTGCGGGTGGTCCTGGGGACCCCTGGCGCACCCCCACCCCGTGCCTTGCGTCCTGCCCCTGCACCACTGTGGTTCTTGTCATCACCAGCACGCCAGTCACGTAACTTGGGATTCAGGGTTTGTGTGCAGGTGTCTTAGTCCCTTATTTCTCTCCCGAGCACTGTTTCCAGACACGCTGCTCCTGGCCTCTGAGCCTCCTGGAGGTGCCCGTCTCCCAGCTGGCGCTTTGAGGGAAACAGCCCATGTGTGGCTGGTGGGGCCTGTGGCCCTGAATTCTCAGGGCAACACGAAAATTCGAGGTTTTGCTGTAATTGTTTTGCTTTTCCAGGTGGACAGACAAATTCAACAAGAAATTTCCTCTTTTCCAAAGCATGAGCTGTTTCTTCTCCTGCCCACACCCTCATGCCGGCCGTCTGGGGAGCCCCGGTCTCTGTATGGTCATGTGGCCGTCCGAGTGCTACTGGAGCGTCATGCCATCCACATCTTTATTTGGCCTGGGGTCCATGATGTCATTTTGTTTTATTGTGTAAACTTTTTCATTATGAAAAAGTACAGGAAGTATGACACCCATATACCTCTCACCTAGAATCCTAGTTCCCACATTTTGTCATGTTTGCTTCGTCTGTAGCACTTTATTTTGAACTATTTCAAAGTATATTCAAAACATCTTAACACTTCTCCTTTAAATGCTTCCTCTAAATGTGTTAGCACACAGCTTAGAAAGTAAGTCATGCTCCTACTCAGCCACAAAACTATGCTTGCATCCTGCAGAACTGGGCCCTGACAGTATCAAAAATCCAGTGTATTCTAAATTGGCTCAAGAAAGCTATTTTTTCAAAACCAGGATCCAATTAAGATTAACACAGGGGATATATTTTATTATTCTTTTTGTCTCTTTGAATCTGGAATAACACCCCACCCCCACTTTGTCCTTTTATGCAAACATACTGACTTTTCGGCAAGATGAGGCTGCTTGTAGCGTATCCCACCTGCGAGGTTGTCTGCTTCCTTGTGGTGTATTCGACTTGTGGTGCCCCTCTACCCGCCCACTCCTCCCCGTATTTCTGTTAGATCTGAAGCCCTGATTAGGCGCAGGCTGAGCGTTTTGCTTCGCCCTCACCCCTGCCTAGGTGGTGCTTGCCCTTTATCCATGTCCTGTGTAGGTGTACTTAGCGTCCCAGCACCCCATAATATGCCTGGTCTTGGGCCAGGCAGGTGCCCCCATTTGAGACCCTGGTTGTTTGTTTGCAGGTGTGCTTGGAGACAGCCAGCACCTCTCTGCAGCTGAGGCCTGCCCAGAGCGCTGGCAGAGAGGCGGGCTGCCTGGCTGTGCTGTGGGCTGGTGGGTCTCAGGGACGNGCTCAATGGCAGCTCCGCACGGTCGGGCACACTGGCTCAGAAGGGGTGAGGAGCCCTCTCATAGTGCCAAACTTAGGAAGTCTTGGCCGCAGTGCCCACAGCCTGGCCTGCAAAGTTTGTTAATTACTGCAGTTCAGACAACAGATGGTGCCCATTCACTAAGTGTTTGGCCTATTCATAGTAATTTTAATTTTTTGTGCAGTATTTACTTTTTCAAAGCTATTATTCGGCAAGCTGGTTAATCTGCTATGATTAAGAATTGATTGTAGTATTATTAGTGACTCATAGTCTGGTTTTATGGTCTTTCTATCTGTGTGGATGTGGGATTTAGTAAAGTGTACTGAAGAATACCACCAAAAGTGTTAGAACAGCCGTCACAGAGCTCTCAAACAAACAACAACACCGCCAGAGCTTCCCGGAGAGACTGGAGCCGAGTGCCCCTGGGTCCCTGGAGCCATAGCTGGGGCGCGGTCTTCTTGCACCGCACTCACTGTGCTGGCGGGTTTTCATAGTGTAGAAAATACTTGACACTTTCAAATGAAATGCAAGTTGAAATTATTGGGGCGTTTTCTTCTAATGGATTCTTTATAGCTGCCAGGTTCGAATTTATTCATTTAGATTTGTTTGCTTTAAAACTTAGTTTTTCTTATTGGTCGTTGGCTGCCCGCTGTAAGATGTCACAAATAATTACTTCAATCACACTATTTAATCACACTGATTAAGTTCTATTTTTATAGATTGAAAGATATTTCCTTAGGAAATTATATGTTATCTACTTTACGTAGTTCTGTTACATAAAATAGGCAATTAACGACAGGTTGATGCTGACAGAAACTATTTCTTTGAATACTTTTCAGGAATTGTAAGACTATATTCAGGAAAGGGAGCATTCTCTCATTTTTTGTCTCCTGGTTGCGTTTTAGAGGGTGGGGGTTCCTTTATTGGTGGGTTCGTTTTCTACCCCGGGTCTCGCCACAGTTAAAAATCTGTTAGCACCTCCCTTTCTCTTTCCTGCTTTGTTTTTAGAAGGAAAACTACTTTATTTCCAAGTATGTGCTATTTTTCCTATATTTATAGGTAGTGGCACCTCAGTCATTAATCGGGAGATGAGTGTTTGGGGCTTTCCCGTGTCTAGTTCTGGGCACCGAACCATGAACGCCTTCCTCCCCCTTGCCTGAAACTGTCCCCACGTGCAGCCTCCAGGTCCCGGCCTGGCTGTAGCACAGAGACCACCAGTGTCGGGGTCCCGGCCTGGCTGTAGTGGCGAGCCTGGCAGTGTTGGGGTCCCGTCCTGGCTGTAGTGGGGAGGCCGGCAGTGTTGGGGTCCCAGCCTGGCTGTAGTGGGGAGGCCAGCAGTATCGGGGTCTTGTCGTGGCTGTAGCAGTGAGTCCAGCAGTGTCGGGGTCCCAGCCTGGCTGTAGTGGGGAGGTCAGCAGTATCGGGGTCCAGTTGTGGCTGTAGTGGTGAGGCCGGCAGTGTCGGGGTCCCGGCCTGGCTGTAGCACAGAGACCACCAGTATCAGCATTCCAGCCTGGCATAGTGGGGAGCCCAGCAGTGTCGGGGTTCTGGCCTGGCTGTAGTGGGGAGGCCGGCAGTGTCCGGGTCCCAGCCTGGCTGTAGTGGGGAGGCCAGCAGTATCGGGGTCTTGTCGTGACTGTAGCGGTGAGGCCAGCAGTGTCGGAGTCCCGTCCTGGCTGTAGTGGGGAGGCCGGCAGTGTCGGGGTCCCATCCTGTCTGTAGTGGGGAGCCTGGCAGTGTTGGCAGTTCTAGAAATGGAGACAGAGGGGCCCAGCCTGTGCTGGGCTAGGCCTGGGTCCTGCCCTATTCTGGGGCCCTGGCCCTCTCCTGACCCCAGAGCCACACCTGTAGGAGCCCTCGGTGGCCTTACAGTGCAGGAGGGCATAGAGAGGTGGTGACTGGCTGCAGTGTCCAGTCTTACTGACCTGTTTTAAACTGTCTCATGTCAGGAACCAGAGATGCTAGTGCTGACTCAGCTGTTTCAGACGATAATGCGACTGGCCTGTGGCATGAGAACATTGAACCAGAGCCGGCAGCAAAGCAGAAAGGTAAGGAGGACCCCACTGCCCTCCTCTCCTGGTGAGGGGGGCCGAGCACCTCCAGTTGTTCACGGGTCAGATGGGCACCTCTCTTCTCAGGGGCTGGCGGCCAGAGCTCTTGCCGGGTCCCTGCCCCATCAGGCCGGAGCTGCCTCTGGTGTGGACAGTGCAGAGTGTGTGGGGAGCCTGGTAGCCAGGCCCTGCTGTGGGCCCAGCGTCCCTCTGAGGTGGAGTGGCAGTGCCCTGGCAGTGCCAGGAGTGACCTGGACACAAGCTTCAGGGCCCCAGCCAGGAGCCCCACAGGCCCAGCCGCACGCCACCCAGATTTCATGTTCAAAGGGGACTTTTAAAGACCATGATTTTTCTGTTTGTTACATTTGTGTGTCTTATGTTGCACCTGGTGAGATTTTGTTTGGTATAATTTTTCTCCTCATTTAGTAAATGCTATGGTAAAACACATATTCAGCATTTATTTTTTAAGGCTCTAGAGCTCCCACCAGGCAGGCAGGGGTGCCTATCCTTCACGGCATAGCTGTGGTACCGTGGGAAGCTGGGTAGCTGCTGGGACCAGGGCGGCAAGGGGTGGCCAGGAGAGGGCTGGTGTTTATCATTCTGTTCACACAGAACATACTTGTTGAAGGCCTCCTGTGTGACAGGCCTCGAGGTCGTGAGTGTGTCAGCGAGCACATGTCAGGCCGGAAAGTGGCGCTGTGCGCGTTAGGGCCGCTGGAGGTAGTTGGGGTGGGACCTTTGCACCTGGGCTGGGGCGAGCCTCCGGGCAGAGCTGGGGGAGTTGGGGCCAGCTCCTGTCATGCCTCGTGGCGGTGTTGGGGACTTTAGCAGGAGGATGCTGGGGATATTTTTAGGATGAGTGGCTTAGTCACACTTAGATCATGCTAATTTGGGAGGCTCAGCCAGAGCCCGGAGGGGCGGAGGCCTGCCCTGTGGCAGAGCGGTGTGGGCAGCTCAGGCAGCTAAGGGTGAACGCAGGCAGCTTTGTGGGGTGTCTGGCTGGAAACACCATGGGAGCTCTGCTGGCACGTAGGCTCCGGCGGGTGCCAGGCTGTGGGGCGGCCGCCAGGCTGTGGGGCGGCCGCTGGAGGGAAGTGGCATGGGGGAGAGGGAAGGCCAGCCTGGGGCGTCTGGGCCTGGAATCTGGGGAGGGTCCAGAGGGTGGCTACATGGGCTGTCCTGACCTGTGCAGGGTGATAGGCACCGTGCCTCTCACCCTCCAGGTGTCAGCCTCCTGACTCGGTGGCGCCACGGTCCAGGCTCCCCCCCGTGCTGAAGGCAAGGACTTCGAGGGCAGGTGGGGCTTGGGGTGCAGGCCTTGGTGCGCAGCAGCCCCTGCCCCTTCCCCCGGGAGGGCTCTCCTGCCACACCCACTGAGGGGCTCCACAGGTGCCGCTCTCGCTCCTGGGCGGCCTGTTCCAGGGCTGGACCCATGCCCCCACTGTCCTCACACTATCCAGGCCCTCCTGACTGCCTACACTCAAGCTCCTGGGCCCCGGCTTGTGCCAGCCTGCCCTCTGCTGTGGCCTCTGGGAGGCTCCTGTGCTCTGCACAGGTAAGGTTCTGGAGGGCCCTCAGTTCCCGTTGCCTCATAAGCTTAGCTCCACCTACCCAGAGCCCCTTCTTTGGGGCACCGTGTACATGACAACAGAAAGTTTTTGAAGCCCTCCTGTGGGCCCAGGCTTGCGTATCTGGGGAGTGCTTTCACCCTGGTTTGCGTGCGTTTCCTCAAAATAACCAAGGGCCCCATTCTTGAATCTTGTGGGCGTGTGTGAAATGGTCCCTCCTGGAGGTGGGCTGTCCTCACGGGGGGTGCTCATGTGGCAACTGCAGGTAGTGGCCCCTCTCCAGCGCCCTTGGTGCCCACCTGAGTCATGCAGGTGAGATGCGGCTGCAAGTGAGCTCGTGTACTGAAGAGTGTGGCTCAGGTGGTCCCCCTTGTAATGCTTCTGCTCATTCACTTGTGGCATGTAGGTCACGTCTGTCCCCAGAAAGCAGCACTTGAAGAAAAGAATCCTGGGTGAAAGGTGCAGAGGTCTGCCTGTGTGGCTCCTGAGAAGTATTTTTATTTAGTTGCCGATGGGAAACCCTGAGTGGTGAGCTCGGGCAGCCGGGCGCAGAGCCCGCGGGCGGACGGGGGCCTTGGTTGCCAGGCTCCACCCGCCTCGTCCCGGCTTCCGCTGGCCTCCTGGCCTTCGCGGCGTTTGCCCGATCTGTTCTGTTGCTCTGTGGTCCTCGGTTCCTGCTTTCCTGTCATGACGTTTCATGGTCCATAGTTCTGCTCGTTCTTTGTCTTTGAAAGTGAAGCAGTTGCCATAGGAAACTAGCAGAGAGGCTGTGAGGAAACGGCCATTTTTCCCCAGTAGACATCTGGAATTACTTACTGTGTGTGTTCCTTTAGTCCTGCCCGTTTAGTGTGCTGAGGTTTACCGACACGAAAGGAGATTTTCTGATGTGCCCTTTTTTCAGGTGACTCTCCTAGTGATGCAGGTGAGGATGGCCCTACGTGACGGTGTTTAGCGTGGATTGTATGTGTGCGTGTGGATGTTATCATGTACTCAGATCCACATTTTATAAATCGTGCTAAAGAAAGCAATGTAAGAAAACAACTATGCCAATTTGAGATTTAATGTACATGTTTTAGGAATCATAAGGATACATTTCAAGATTTTTTCCAGAGTATAAGGTATATTTCCGGTATTCACCTTCTGATTTATTTTCACTCTTTTCCAAAGTATAAAGCCCTTTTACTTTAAATAGTAGAATCAAGTTTAATTGTCTTAATATTTTGGGCTTGTTGTTTACTGATTAAATCTTTAAGATAACTGTTGAAATCATAAAAATAATATGGTATATGCCCAAAGTAGAAAATTTTTAGAATGCAGAAAAATATAAAGAAGAAAATGAAAAGCACTGGTAATTCTGCTGTTCATATCTTCAGTGAGTGGCCTTTTAGAACCCGGTGTGTATATGTGTAGTTGAAAGATGCATTGCTATATTCTATTGGCTATAGATTAAAGTGATGACTTCTCACACCAAGTGTCTGGCATGTGATGCCATAGTTCACTGAAGCTGCCGATTGCCTCCACTGTTGCGAATGATGACGGGTGGACATCTGTACATGAGACTTACACGTGCCCACTCATGTCCTTAAAGTGCAGTGGCTGACCGAATCGACCCACTATTTGAATTCCATTTTTTGAGAAGTTGAACCAGTTTATATTTCTAGGGTTTGAGGGAACCCGTTCTCCCAAATCTTCACCAAATGTAGTGTAGATATCAAGTGTCTGCTTTATTTTCATCGAAGTTTTAGATGAAAACAGGTAATTTATATTTACAGTTATCCAGTTGCTGTCTTTTCAAATATTTCTTAGTCGTCTGTGTTTTTTCCTTTGTCAATCACTGACTGGATTGCCGTCGTTCAGAAGGAGAAGTTGGGCCTTCCGGCCGCGATGAGGCTGCACCGCCTGTGAGCACCGAGCCCCCGGACGAGGCTCCACCCCACGCCAGGTCTGTGTCCTCGGGCTGCCAGCCGCCACGCCGTGCCCCCTTCAGCTTGTTTGATGCCTGGGCTTCATCTTGAGGAAGTACTTATACAACGAGAACCGTTTAATTTTCTATGCCTGAGGCGTAAGCACCCGAAGAACATTTTAGAGATTTAGGGAAGTTCATAATTATAGCCGCATTATGTCATGTTTTGATTACGGGTAGTTATGTTACTACTTTTTATATATTACAATTAATAAAAATAGAAGATTAAAAAACGGATGCTTTCAAACTTGCCAGATTAATGGAATGTTCTTAATATTCTACAGCCTGGGTCCTAATTAGCATGTTGACAGTGGCCTGGAAATTAGTGTAAACACTGACTTGGGCTTTTTTTGGTCCACTTTGAAGTGTGCGAGTGTTTCATATCCCTTTTTGGTTTTCCAATATTTGGGTTTAGAAGGATACCTCGGCCTGGGAGTGCAAGACCGGCGCCACCCCGGGTGAAACGCCAGGAGAGCTCAGAGGTGCTGCCCACAGACAGGTGGGCACCCGTGGGGGCCGGGCTTGGCGAGGGTGGGGTGCCCTGCTGGGAGATGGGGCAGAGGCGGCACGGAGCCCGGACTGCTAGTGAGGACAGAGACACAGGGCCCGCCAAGCTCAGGCTGCGCACGGACCCCCTTCCTGTGGGTGGGGGTGCACAGACGCACCTGCCATGCGGTGTGGGGGCAGGTATTTCTTGGATCTCTGGGTAGCATTTTCTAAGCATAAAAACAATGAGGGAGAAAATAGGAAAAAAAGATTTAAAGGCTTAGTTATATAAAAATTAAAGGTTGTCAGAAAGTCAAAGATAGTTACAAGTTTTACAAATCTGCCAGTGGATACACCCTGATCTTTAAAGAACAAAAATCAAAACAAAAACACAGAAAAATAAAATAGGCCAGATCAGAGTGGTTTCAGCTGCAGGCGAGCGCAGACTCGTCGGGTTCTGTCTGCGGGGAATCAGTGAGAGGGGCTGTGCCTGAGGCTGCCCCCAGACAGCTAGAATTTTCCACCTCTACAATTTGAGGGCCAGCACTCTCTTTGGTGGCGATGAGAGATCGGTGGTGGGCCGTGCGGGTGGGGAAGTGTTGAGCAAAGTCCCCAGGTGGCGAGGGGACGTGGAGGGACTGGCTTCGGAGCAGGTGGAAGGGCCGGCGAAGCTGAGGTTCTGCCAGGTGCCTCCTCTCTGGGCCTTCTTTTTTCCCATGGGTGAGAGCATGTCTGTGGCAGGGGTAGTGGGGCAGAAGGGCAGGGGGGAAGAGGGTCAGGAGGGTGGGAGTGAGGAGGGGGCTTGGAGCAGGGGGTGGGTCAGAGGAGAGGCTCTCTCAGGGTCCCCCTAGCCCCAGGGGATGTTGGCGATACTGGGACCATGTCTGGAGATGTTGTGAGCGTCAGGACTGGGGAAGAGGGGTCGAGGGATTCTTGGCATCTCCTTTGGGTTGGGACCAGGGTGCCGCTCAACGCCCTGCCGCAGACAGGCAGCCCCTCACGGGGGACAACAGCCTGGGGGCCCTGCAGCGGTGTGCAGAGCAGGGCTTGAGGCTGGGCTGCACCCAGGGCACGTGGGTGTGAGGTGACCGGAGTCGGCCTCACTGCGGACTTTGTTCTCTAGCCACATTGGCCCTGTGGCACAGGCATGGCATGGGCACAGTTGGAGCGATGGGTGGTGGTGGTCAGAGTGGGTGTGTGGGTTTGAGATTGGGGGCTTGCCATCAGCAGACAGGGTTGTGGCCCTGAGAGTCTGGCTGGGGATGGGCGTGGGGTTGTGGCCAGCGAGTTCAGGGACCCCAGTGCCAGGGTTTAGGAAGGATCATTGCTCAGTGCCTGAAACCTTCATGTTTTGATGGGAGCAGTGTTGGCAAGAGTAGCAGGAGCTAGGGTGCCAGGGCGAGGCCCGGGGCTGGCAGATGGTGGCCACAGTGATGGTTGAGAGCGAGAGATCCTGACTTCAGGAGGTTCAGAGTTGGCAGATCTTAGAATGGTCTGGAAGCCACAGGAAGCACATGGAAACCCCTTACCTTCCGTCTGGGCCTGGCACCAGGAGGCCAGTGGGAGGAAGCCCAGGGAAGCCCAGGCCGGGAGGGTGGGTGGGGGTGGGGGCCCTGAGACCAGGGTGAGGTGGAAAGGGTTCGCTGGTGAGAGAGGATGCATGGGAAAGCTTCAGCGGGGGAGGGTGGGGTGCAGGCCTCATGGGGGTGGCAGGGGGTATGAGGCCCAGGGTGGCGAGGTCGGTCCCACTGGAGGCCAGACAGGCGCTCTGAGGGTCCGTGGGGCCCTGGAGATGGGGCTGAGGCTCTTTGGGGGCAGGTATTGTCTGAGAGCTCATTCTCCAGGGCACAGACTTCCTTCTGACCTGGTCATTGCCCTGCAGCAGGAGAGGGGGCATGTGGACGTGCAGAGGGTAGAGGGGCAAGGGGGTTACTGGTTTGCATTAATACATGATTCTGTTAATTTGGTCAGGAAGAAATGAAGGCGGGAAAGGGCTGACAGGGAGTGTGTGGGTCTGGGGGCTTGTGGTCCAGGACAAGCTGGTTGGAGGAAGTGCTTAAGCAGAGGGACGCTGGCAGTGGCCTGCAGTGCGGCGAAGTAGGTGAGACTGTGCCAGCAGTGGCCACTGGAGGCTCAAGACAGTCATTGGATGGAGGTGGTCATGTGGGAGGACCAGGTCAAAGGCCAGCAGGCTCTGTTGGACATCAGAATGGCCCAGGACAATGGCAGGACCCGGGGGAGAGGAGGTGCCTGGGTGGGGGTGCTGGGCAGGGGCGCAGGTTGGGGCAGTGACCACATGAGTGGGACTTGTGGAGACCACTGTGCTTCTGCACAGACAGGAGCGGAGGTCTGGGGCAGCCCTGGCCAGCGGGACCACCTGGGCCACCCCTGCCTCGAGGTTTGCAACTCAGGAGAACAGGCCCCTCCACGGGAGGGGCTGCAGGAAAAGCGCCGGTTTCCCGGAAAGCCTGGCCAGGGGAGCGGAGAGGCTCCAGGGGCAGAGGCCGAGTGTGTAGGAGGCGGGGCCGGCGGTGGACGAGGGGCTGGCAGCCAGCTGGACACCTGTCCGGGGCGGTGTCCCCGGCAGTGGGCGGGGCTCACAGGGACCCGGGCCTGCGAGCCTCACTCAGCTTCTGTCTGTCTTTCATGATGTTCTAAAGGTGGTTAGTGGTTAAACTCCACTTGTGGAACATGCCTGGGACTTATGAAAATGTGTGGCCAACATGGAATGTCTAATTTAATCTGATTTCTTTTCATATAGGTCAGGGAGTGGTAAACCCGTTTCAAATGTGATCATAGATTCGCAGAATTCTGACAATGAAGAAGACAGGCAGTTTGTGGTGGAGGCTGCCCCCCAGCTCTCCGAGACGGCCGGCCTAGAAATGGTCAGTTTTCCCGATGACCCTTACAGGGCATTGGAGTGAACACTCCAGCATTTACATTTATGGGGACACAATTTTCCTCTGGTTTTTCAGTTAGTTTCCCAACGTCTTTAATTTTGTCATTCCTTTGATGAGATCCATGGAAGCATGATTTTGAGGATTCAGCAAACCTGAATCTCCTTTTTTCCCCCCTTCCTTCCCTGCACAGGTACAAGCAGTAGAATTTGAAGAAGATGAGAAGCATGGTGAGTCCTGGGTGGCGTGCACACGTGTGTCTGCTCTGGGTGTTTTAAAAGGACCTGCTGCAAATGGGCTTCGAGAGTCCCGCTTTGGTCAGGGTGCTGTGTAATGAGCAGGACACCTGGACTCGGATCCTGCCTGAGTGGTGGTTTTCATGTGAGACACGGGGTGCTATGCCCATCCACATGGGGCAGGGGGGTGCCTGGGGCACTGGGGGTCCGCCGTGACTGGGTGTGTTCTCTTCCCAAGCGCACTGTCTCCTAAAGAGCCCCCATGTAGGGGTGACGCAGCGTTGGCACGACCAGCTCACCTTGTGAGCCTCTAGCTGCTGTGGCCCCCACTCCCTGAGCTGTTCTTGGGGCCCAGAGGGGCTCAGTGCCAGGCCTTTGTAGACTCTTAAAGATTATTTGAAGCCGTTCCCAGTTGACCGGAAGACTAAGAGCTCATTGTGCCCCAGCCCTGGTCCACCCACGTAGGTAGAACAGCTTCTTGGACAGAGAATAGCTTGGGTATAAAACCACTGATTTCCAACAGGAGGACTTGTCAAAAAAATTCTGGAGACCAAGAAAGATTACGAGAAGGTCCAGCAGTCGCCCAAACCTGGAGAGAAGGTAACGGGATGATTTCTGCCAAGAGTGGCATTTAATAGTCTGTTTCATATGCTAACTTTGACAAATCAGAGGCGTCTTTCAAACATGATTATCAGTAATGTCTTTTTACTGATTTAAAAGCCCTGCTCCTCAGTTCAGAGGGTAGAAAATTTGGGGACCCCTAAGTGGGATGTTCCTTCCCTGGACCCCATCCAGTCCTGCCCCAGGTGTGGCAGTGGCCTTTCACACGGGGTCGGGAGTCAAGGCCAAAGTCCTGCGCTGAGCCGGTCACCCCGTTCCTGCCTTGTCCGCCCCTTCTCCCTGCTTGCAGAGCTGGGAGGCTGGCTGCTGCCGTGGCTGATGGCATGCTGAGAGGCTGGGGGGTCCTGAGCGCGGCTTTAAGCACATGTGCTCTTTGTTTCTGGCCCCCAGCAGCTCCCTTTCATGCGGGCAATGCGGTTGTGCTGGGACCTACGGCTGCCTGCCAGCCACTGACCTTGGGCGTGTGACCCTGGGGCCAGGGGTCTGCCTCCGGGGGCACAGCTAGGTTTCTGTTATAGCCACTTTAGAAAGTAAGAATAATCTTCACTTATTGTTTTTTTAATAGAAAGAAGTTTCTTAGATAGTTTTATCAGCAGCCAACTATTCAGTAAGTTTTATACACACACACAAACATGACTGAATTCATGATTGTTTTAGATAATTCTGCTTAAAGTGGTCCGTTTGTACTGAAGGCATGGCCTGAAATAGCCCCGGAGGAGAGCTGTACAGTTGAGGCCAACAGTAGGGGAGCCCTTTTAATGACACTATTTTGGGAGAATAACGTTGCCGGAGGCTTCACCTGCCCGCTGTTTGCTCCCTGGAAGGGGAGCTGCCTCTCTGTGGGCTGCTGTCTGTTGCTGTGGAATTGTAATATGTCATAGTCCTTATGTGCCTGAAGAGTTGTCCTGGTGTCCCTGGTAATGTCTCTGCGACCCAGTGGAAAGCCCTGTGCGTGTCCCGCCGGGCTGTTCATGTGGGCAGTCCTTGAAGCTTCAGTGGCTTCCATGCTACAGCTGTGCTTTTTATGCAAAGCACACTAGGCCTGTGTTTCATACTTTCCTCTGGAGTGAATTTCAGAGCAGTAGACTTTATAAGATAACAGAGGAAAAAATGAAGGTCCTTGTTTGGTGAACATTTGCTGCTTTAAAAACATGCAGTGTAGGTGTTACAAAGTTGGGATATGTGTATGAATTCCAGGTGGGTAGGAAAAAATCAGCAAGTTGCTCTGTTTCCTTAGTATGTTGATAGACGTCACATTTAAATTTAACTTTTTAGTCTTTTAAAAGCATCTTAATTACATTTTTTAAAATAAGAGAAGTTAAAATGTACAAGGAAAAGTTGAAGGCCTTTGTGTGTGTGCCCCGCCCCATTGTCCCTAAGGTGGACACTAAGATGAATTCGGCCCGACCCTTCTTGTGTGTGTGTTTGGCATTGTTTTATGAGTTTTGATATTACCCTGTTTTATGTTCTGCAGGCTGCTTCCTTCAGGCAGAGTGTGTCTGAGACCCTCCCGGTTCTGATGCTTGTAGATTTGTTTGCTGTGATTGATGACAGGTACTCCGATGTTTATGAAATCCTTCATTTGTGGACATTTAGATTTCTTCACCGTTACAAACAGTGCTTCCAGTGGGCTCCTTCGTAATGGTTCCTGGCCTGTAAGAGCCAGTATCTCTTGACAAACCTTTCCTGTAAAGGGCCAGATAGTAAACATTTGAGGCTCATGAGCCACGCACTCTGTTGCAACTTCTCAACTCTCCTGACCACCTGGAAGCAGCCATATCCTGGCCAGTGGCAACCAGTGTGTGTGGCTGTCCTGGTACAGCTCCATTCATAGCAGGACAGCCTGGCACCGTAGTTTGCAGCCTGGCTTTGGAGTCTGTGCCCAGGCTTAGAATTGCTTCAGGTTCATTGGTTACTCCTCAGAGTGGCTGTACCGATTGACACGCCCAGTGGAATGGAAGTCTGTGTTTCCACACACCTGCGCCAGCCACAGTCAAGACAGTGACCGTATCCATTACCTCAACAGTGGCTTGTTTCTGTGGAATCCCTGATTTTTGTCACTGTAGTTTGCATTTCCTGGATTGTGTGTGAATCACGTGGCATGCACTCCTTTTGGCCTGCCTGCTTTTTTATTCATCACGATTATTTTGGGATGTATCCATGTTGTAGCATGCCCAACAGTCCATTTGTTTTTATTGCTGAGTAGCTCTTGTGGACAGACCACGGCGGGCTTGTCCGTCTATCAGTTAATACACTTTGGGACCATTGCAAATCAGGCTACAGTGAAATTCCCGTACAGGTGTTTGTGTGGCCAGATAGTTTCATTCCTTTGGGTAAATGCCTAGGAGTAAGACTGCTGGTGAAATGGTAAGGGTGCTTGCCCTCGTAAGGACTCCCCAAACTGTTACCCACAGGGATTGGGGGTGCCAGGTCCTCGCATTCTTACCAAAACTTGATATGGTCAGTCTTTTAATTTTTTGTGGTTTTAATTTGCATTTTCTTAATGACTGATGATTTTTCTGTCTCCATTGCTAGTTCCCCCTCTTCTCACTCTTTTCTTTATTGAAGTCTCAATGTCGCTAGCTTTTCTGTTCTCTCAAACTAATCTTTTCTGTTTGTGTTACTCTCTTTAATGAGTATATTCTGTTTTCCCATTTGAGTTTCTTTTGGTGATTAATACTTGGATCAGTTAGGATCAGGTTTATCTGTGAGTGAAGGAAAAATCTAAAACAAAGTGGCTTAAATGAGGTAGAAAGTGCTTTAGTTCATGAGTCAGAGGCTGGAGGTAGCAGTGACCTGCAGGAGGCACCTTCTCCCTGTTTCCCTCACCGATGTGCCCACCATGCCTCAGGGTGCCTCATGGGCCAACATGGCTGTCCCAGTTCCAGCCTTCAGGACTGTATTCCAGCCAGTAGGAAGGAGGAAAAGGGAAGGAGAAGAATGGCACACCCTTTCTCTTTTAGGTTATTTTGTGGAAGTTGTGCTCATCACTTCCACTTGTATTTTATCAGCCAGCTATTTGTCACTAAGGAGACCATGAAGTGAAATTTATTCCAGGCATTAGTTTGCTTAGCTAACAGTCAGGGTTTCCACTGACACAGGCTAGATTTGCCAGATTTTTCTCACTGCCTGGCATGCTCAGAAAATGATGATATCTGCAAGGTGCAAAGAGAAAAAGAGGAGGAGCCCGCATGGCCGGGGGCTGCGGGTTTTAGGGACCAGCACACCCACCGTATGTGGGCGATGAGGAGGCTTTGCTGTCAGAAGGCAGATCAGAAATGGAGTCGACCTGCAGTCTCTTCGATGGTGTTTCTCTAGGAAATTGTGTATTTCATTCATGTTTTATAAAGTCATGGCATGGAGATGTTTCAGGGATACTTTTATGATTTCAAAAAACCATGTAAAAATATCTACAGTTACAGTTTTCCTTTTTGTCTTTTTTTTTTTCTTGAAAGTTTTAAAAAACTATTGAAACAGACACCTGGAAAGTATCAGCTTTTGGTTTTATAGACATTCACTTTTGTTTTCATTTCTTTGGTTTCTACTCCTTATTTTTCCTTTTAATTACTTTAGATATTTACTTTTTCTAGCCTCTGGTAAAACACCTAGGAAACTCAGTTTTTTTTAGTCTTTGTCATTAAAAAACTTAAGTATATTTGAGACTATATATTTCTTAGGCATGCTTTATCCTTGAATTTTAAGTTCCTTAAATATTAATACTAAATATTAAAAATTCCTTGCATTTTGGCATGAAGTACCTTGTTGGTGTTTCTTTTTAACACGTGGGCTATTTAGGGGTCTGTCGTTTTGGCTTTCAAGCATAAGGTCTTAAAATGCCTCTTTATTGGCAATGCCGCACACAGTTGCATACTCGGAGAGCGTGGCCTGTGTGGTGCTGGTGGTTGGGCCGAGCCTTTCTGTGAGGCCTAGAGCGTGCTCAGTGTTTCTCAAGGCTCCTGAGCGCCGGCAGGGTCTCCTAGCCCCCGGGTCCAGGCTTCCACGGCCCTGCCGGTTCCGTGCGGCGGTGACTGTGAGAACGTGCACTCAAAATGGGTAGGCTCCGTCTGCTTGGCATCTTCACTGAGTCATGTATCTCAGTCACAATGTTAACTGCTTATCTTCTGTCTTCTGTCTCATTTAAGAACTCACATAGTGTTTTCTCTGCTTTTCACAAAAGCTCTACTGTGCTCTTGGTCTTAGTACTTTGCATTTTTTGTAGGAAGCGTTTTTTTCAGTACTAAGGAAATATGTGTGTGTAGTCGGCCACTTCTCCAGTCTGTCTTTGAAGTTGCATCAGAAGAAAAGCCATTTCTTATTGTACTAAAGGACTTGAATAATATATTACAGAACAAATATGTGAATTAGAATGCTTTGAGCATTTTATTCATTATCCTGACTTATTTGCTCTCCTTTCAAGAGGAAATATAAACTTTGTTAATATATTAGCTCATGCTAGCATTTTTCCCTTCATATTTATGAAGCTTTTTAAAGCAACCAGTAAAGCAGTTTTATTAGTGTTTCTCAAGTTTTAAACATACTTGCTTTTTAAACTCTATAAATGAAGATGATTTTGAGTAATAGCAGTTTTAAAGGTGGTTCACTCACTTTAAAGTGTAAAGATTTCTCTCTTGACTTTTCAGTCTCCTTTTACATAATGTCCCAGTTTTTTTTGCATGTTATATTATTCTAACTGAATGTAAATTTCAGATGCTTTTTCTGTTCATTTACATTCTTTATTTTGAAATAGAGTATTTCTTTTTGTAGATTTCTTTCTCACTTAGCTTATTTAGAGTTTTTGTGATTTGATTCTCTTCATGGTCTTGGTCATGTGAACTGCGTCTTCTGGGAGTGCACGAGATCTGGTGCTCAGATGAGAACCTGGGTGTGTGTTGAATTGGACTTGCATGTGTGTATTTTACTGCCCTTCTCAATAAAAGCTATAATAAGGGCTTAATGTCACAGCTAAACGACCACAGAGA